AAGGAGAGAAAAATGCATAACTTGTCAGAGTATTTGAAATTAATAAGTATTAACAATTAAGCCACACTTATTTCTAGCACATTATCCTGTGCAAAATGTGTGTAAAGTACATTTCCTCCATGGTTGTGCACATGTTCTTTCTTAAATTATTGGTTTAAGAATGGTGTAAAGCACTTTTTCATATTGAGAAATAGCCAGTGGCGTAACTAAGGGCCCCGCTGACCCCGCTGTGCAGGGGGCGCCATCTTAGGGGGGCGCAAAATCGTCGTTTGAATGTGGGACAATTTTGAAAAACTTAACTGAGATACTAGCAAAACTGCGCGTTTTGCTCTAGAAACACTTTTTTCTAGAAATTTTGCCAGCGTATCCTCTAAAATCACCTAATTTGTTCAATTTAGGGAGGGGCGCCAAAAGGGGAGGGGGCGCCAACAGGGGGCGCATTTTCGGCGGGGGCACCAACAGGCAACGTTACGCCACAGCAAATAGCGCTCTGATGTGAATAAAATGGTCCTAGAATTTGATGTTTCTCTGGTGGAATAGTTGATAAGACAGGAAGTATTTCGTAGCTAGAATTAAAATGGTTTAACTTTGTCAACCCCTCTAAATCAGTCAAACCATTATATTCCAGATAGAGAGAAGAGCGTTGTTATTTCGACCTTGATTATGGCACTGAGCTATTTTGTGACAAACTTTCCTTGGGTGGCATACATCCTCATTTACGTGTTTACTGGTACAAAGAGTACATTCATCATACTATCAGGTAACATTCTTGACAGTTTGAACATGGCAAGGCCAAGGGGGAAAATTTTTAAAGCGATAAGTTGTGAGCATGAGGGTTAAATAAGGAGAGAGTCTGCCAAAACATCTAGAATCTAATCGGTAGTTTATATTTTGTTATAGTGTTTAAAATATTATCACTACACTATCCCTGCATTCTATCACAGGTGGAAATAAAGAAGCTGAGATGTATTTGTACAACTGGTATTATGCAGCTCATGCACTATCGGGATTGGTAAATGCAGTAGCCCAGGTTTGCTTTCTGTGGAGTTTTGAACAATTTTAAAATTATATCGAGCATGATCACACTGAACCCTCTTAGTCTCACATGTTTTTTGACACAATCTTACCGCAATCAGATAATTGGAAATATGATAGCAAGTGTGTTGTGTGTAGTAGCAAGTACTGTATATTTGAAGTCATCATTCCAAGCAGGTTGAGATAACCTGTTCTGGTTGATGCCATCTTATCATGCACATTCTACCATACATTTGGTGATGACACTCACGTCAATTCCATAATTAGACTAAATTTATAATTTAATTTAATTCAATCAACCAGATTGCCTGTTGTAAAGAACTCAACAAGCCAATCGTTAAACTGTTCCGGAGGTTTGAAGAGACTGACTGAAGTACAGTGCTGGACTGCCAATCGAGAGAATAGAGCAGTGAGTGGACTTAATGAACAAAAATTCCGTGAGATACAAGTCGTGGTGACATTTTAGAAAAATATTTAAATTATATTTTGCATTAATTCAATTTTCTTTTTCCTCCATTTTCAATTTTGAATTAGATTTTAAATTGTTATGAAATGAAATTACATTGCTTTCGTGATATTATGATAGGTTGACATTAACAACATAGGATATGGTTATTACCATGACCAAAACAATTTTAACAAACAATTTATCTAGTCATGCCATCACACATCCTACTGAACATCGTATGTTGCAGAATTGTTAATTTTATCTATATCATTCGTGGAATAATCTGTTACCATTTTACTGCTACCACGTCAAATCAACAAATGCGAATACCCGCAAGAACCGCAATTACCTGGGGACCCCAGGCTATTATGTACATAAACATAAAGATTCGGTGGAATGACAGGCTGAGCGCCGCCCAGTAAGAACCGCGAAAGATTGACGAGTATGAATGAATACAAAATTGCAAAAAGAAATAAATGGCCTAAATGGTGTCAAAATAAATAAATATTGTTGTCTGTTGACACTATTTTAGGGTTAAACAGGTTTCTGCTACAGTTTTTTACTAGCTGTTCAGTGTTCAACCGACGATTGATATTTGGCAAGGAAACGAATAAAACTAAAAATTGTGATAGGGTGCAGGTGTGCACTTTTTCATTTATCAAAATAAAAGTGTAACAATTTATAATTTAATATTTGATGATTTTTTTAAAATCTGAACTTAATTATAAATATTAAAGATTTTCGTATCATTTATAAAGTCATAAAACATAAATTGCGCACATTTGAACAACGTATCTTTTCAAATTTTCAACGTCGAACGTAGCTTTTCAGTGCGATGCAGACAGCATGGCTAATATTAAATACTAGTGGACTCTATGCAGCTCTCCCAGCGCCCCTAATTTTACTGATCTGGAGGTCACATTTTATTGAGCCAGTACAGGCTAATATTAAATACTAGTGGACTCTATGCAGCTCTCCCAGCGCCCCTAATTTTACTGATATGGAGGTCACATTTTATTGAGCCAGTACAGGCTAATATTAAATACTAGTGGACTCTATGCAGCTCTCCCAGCGCCCCTAATTTTACTGATCTGGAGGTCACATTTTATTGAGCCAGTACAGGCTAATATTAAATACTAGTGGACTCTATGCAGCTCTCCCAGCGCCCCTAATTTTACTGATCTGGAGGTCACATTTTATTGAGCCAGTACAGGCTAATATTAAATACTAGTGGACTCTATGCAGCTCTCCCAGCGCCCCTAATTTTACTGATCTGGAGGTCACATTTTATTGAGCCAGTACAGGCTAATATTAAATACTAGTGGACTCTATGCAGCTCTCCCAGCGCCCCTAATTTTACTGATCTGGAGGTCACATTTTATTGAGCCAGTACAGGCTAATATTAAATACTAGTGGACTCTATGCAGCTCTCCCAGCGCCCCTAATTTTACTGATCTGGAGGTCACATTTTATTGAGCCAGTACAGGCTAATATTAAATACTAGTGGACTCTATGCAGCTCTCCCAGCGCCCCTAATTTTACTGATCTGGAGGTCACATTTTATTGAGCCAGTACAGGCTAATATTAAATACTAGTGGACTCTATGCAGCTCTCCCAGCGCCCCTAATTTTACTGATATGGAGGTCACATTTTATTGAGCCAGTACAGGCTAATATTAAATACTAGTGGACTCTATGCAGCTCTCCCAGCGCCCCTAATTTTACTGATCTGGAGGTCACATTTTATTGAGCCAGTACAGGCTAATATTAAATACTAGTGGACTCTATGCAGCTCTCCCAGCGCCCCTAATTTTACTGATCTGGAGGTCACATTTTATTGAGCCAGTACAGGCTAATATTAAATACTAGTGGACTCTATGCAGCTCTCCCAGCGCCCCTAATTTTACTGATCTGGAGGTCACATTTTATTGAGCCAGTACAGGCTAATATTAAATACTAGTGGACTCTATGCAGCTCTCCCAGCGCCCCTAATTTTACTGATCTGGAGGTCACATTTTATTGAGCCAGTACAGGCTAATATTAAATACTAGTGGACTCTATGCAGCTCTCCCAGCGCCCCTAATTTTACTGATCTGGAGGTCACATTTTATTGAGCCAGTACAGGCTAATATTAAATACTAGTGGACTCTATGCAGCTCTCCCAGCGCCCCTAATTTTACTGATCTGGAGGTCACATTTTATTGAGCCAGTACAGGCTAATATTAAATACTAGTGGACTCTATGCAGCTCTCCCAGCGCCCCTAATTTTACTGATCTGGAGGTCACATTTTATTGAGCCAGTACAGGCTAATATTAAATACTAGTGGACTCTATGCAGCTCTCCCAGCGCCCCTAATTTTACTGATCTGGAGGTCACATTTTATTGAGCCAGTACAGGCTAATATTAAATACTAGTGGACTCTATGCAGCTCTCCCAGCGCCCCTAATTTTACTGATCTGGAGGTCACATTTTATTGAGCCAGTACAGGCTAATATTAAATACTAGTGGACTCTATGCAGCTCTCCCAGCGCCCCTAATTTTACTGATCTGGAGGTCACATTTTATTGAGCCAGTACAGGCTAATATTAAATACTAGTGGACTCTATGCAGCTCTCCCAGCGCCCCTAATTTTACTGATCTGGAGGTCACATTTTATTGAGCCAGTACAGGCTAATATTAAATACTAGTGGACTCTATGCAGCTCTCCCAGCGCCCCTAATTTTACTGATCTGGAGGTCACATTTTATTGAGCCAGTACAGGCTAATATTAAATACTAGTGGACTCTATGCAGCTCTCCCAGCGCCCCTAATTTTACTGATATGGAGGTCACATTTTATTGAGCCAGTACAGGCTAATATTAAATACTAGTGGACTCTATGCAGCTCTCCCAGCGCCCCTAATTTTACTGATCTGGAGGTCACATTTTATTGAGCCAGTACAGGCTAATATTAAATACTAGTGGACTCTATGCAGCTCTCCCAGCGCCCCTAATTTTACTGATATGGAGGTCACATTTTATTGAGCCTATGCAGTATATGCAATTCTGTTTTAGACAGTCAATTTATTTAAAAAAGGTCTCACCCTCTAAAAAACTTCCGTTGGAAATGTTTCTATTAATTTCACATTGGAAAACTTTTCATTGTGTTTGACCTCAACTTAGATGTATTTGTTTTTTTTGCTATTTTTTAGCAACTCCAATTCTCTTTTGTAGAGCTGATTCTTGTTATATAGAAGTACACTCGATACAGTTATCTTATATAATATGAAAATATATTGAACAGCCAAACTACTGGTATATCTTTATATTGGGAAGAAAAATAATACAAGTTCTAGTATTCTTTTAAAAATAGCCGTTCATAACATTTACTTCATTTTAGGTATGTGTGTGTGAAACATCAGAACTGAATAATGGACCAGAGAATTCAGAGATCTTTGGTTACCTGTTTCCGGTTTCGTCGGTTCACACTTCACATTGCTGCGTTCCTGACCTAGCTTCACCTGCATCAGTAGATCATATTATAATATGCATTATAGACTATAGTTATACAGCTTGAATTTGAAAGAGCTACATGGTCGTTGTTTCGAGTGCTTTTTCATCTGCTGTGATGAATTGGCAGACAGCATCAACGGTTACCAACATAATAGGTGCATTGCAAGTTGTGCAATGCTGAATGCATACGTTTCGTCAGTGACTTCCTTCTGCCTCATTGATGCGAAACTGATAATAAACATGCAAGAGAATACAGCTATAGTTACTCTGGACTGCCATGATAGAAACATTGAAACAGATATTGACTGGCTTTAGGTATGTGAGACGTAAGTATTGAAACCTCAAATTGTTATGATCAGGTTCAACATACTTGCTATGATCCTTTATATAATATCAATATATTATATAAAATATAATATATTACATTGTATATTAATCTTGATATAAAATCTTTGCTTTTTGATGATTGTAAGATGTTCTGTTTCGTTGTAACCTTGTCCCCTACATAATTATACTAGAAAACCCGTGGTCACAGGGAGGAAGCTAATACTATTCTTTGGTAGTCAGTTTCTATCGCATCAAAAAAATATTCATCACAACCGAAGATACAGCCAATTAAAATATAGCTCGCACTTAACACCACGTAATAACAAAAACCGATCAAAATGCCTCTCTCAAATCCTTGCACGTGCACGTGGGAACAACAATCTTCGTTACCATGGTTACTATGCAACTTCCTATTTCTCATCTAATTTGCACGTGGGCGGTCGTACAGACAGAACGATTCTCTGAACTATAGTAGAGATAATAGTACATCATTACTTCCATTTTTCAGGTTTTTATTGGTGTTGCAAACGATGTAACGATCACTAAATTCTGTGCCTATGTGAGATTTGTTGGTTCATCGAATAACATCAAACTTACAGTGTGAGTAATTCAACTATCATGCACTTCATATTTTATGTCCCCCTACTCATTGCTCACTCTCTGTCTTCATCAGTGTTACTCTACATTTCTCTCAGTAGTTACTCTTCCACTCAGTATTAACTCTCTGTCTTCATCAGTGTTACTCTACATTTCTCTCTGCAGTTATTCTTCCACTCAGTATTAACTCTCTGTCTTCATCAGTGTTACTCTATATTTCCCTCAGTAGTTATTCTCCCAATCAGTGTTAACTCTCTATCTTCATCAGTGTTACTCTAGACATTTCGTTCAGAAGTTATTCTCCCACTCAGTATTAACTCTCTGTCTTCGTCAGTGTTACTCTATATTTCCCTCAGTAGCTACTCTCCCACTCAGTATTAACTCTCTGTCTTCATCAGTGTTATTCTACATTTCCCTCAGTAGTTACTCTCACACTGAGAGTTAACTCTCTGTCTTCGTCAGTGTTACTCTATATTTCGCTCAGTAGTTATTCTCCCACTCAGTATTAACTCTCTGTCTTCGTCAGTATTACTCTACATTTCTCTCAGTAATTATTCTCCCACTCAGTATCAACTCTCTGTCTTCATCAGTGTTACTCTACATTTCTCTCAGTAGTTATTCTCCCACTCAGTATTAACTCTAGCTCTCTGTCTTCATCAGTGTTACTCTACATTTCTCTCAGCAGTTATTCTTCCACTCAGTATTAACTCTCTGTCTTCGTCAGTGTTACTCTATATTTCCCTCAGTAGTTATTCTCCCAATCAGTGTTAACTCTCTATCTTCATCAGTGTTACTCTAGACATTTCCTTCAGAAGTTAATCTCCCACTCGACTCAGTATTAACTCTCTGTCTTCGTGAGTGTTACTCTATTATATTTCCCTCAGTAGCTACTCTCCCACTCAGTATTAACTCTCTGTCTTCATCAGTGTTATTCTACATTTCCCTCAGTATAGTTACTCTCACACTGAGAGTTAACTCTCTGTCTCTATCAGTGTAACTCTACATTTCTCTCAGTAGTTACTCTTTCACTCAGTTTTAACTCTCTGTCGTCATCAGTGTTACTCTACATTTCTCTCATCTTAGTTATTCTCCCACTCAGTATTAACTCTCTGTCTTCGTCAGTGTTACTCTATATTTCCCTCAGTAGTTACTATCACACTGAGAGTTAACTCTCTGTCTTCGTCAGTGTTATTCTACATTTCCCTCAGTAGTTACTCTCACACTGAGAGTTAACTCTCTGTCTTCGTCAGTGTTACTCTATATTTCGCTCAGTAGTTATTCTCCCACTCAGTATTAACTCTCTGTCTTCGTCAGTATTACTCTACATTTCTCTCAGTAATTATTCTCCCACTCAGTATCAACTCTCTGTCTTCATCAGTGTTATTCTACATTTCTCTCAGTAGTTATTCTCCCACGCAGTATTAACTCTAGCTCTCTGTCTTCATCAGTGTTACTCTACATTTCTCTCAGCAGTTATTCTTCCACTCAGTATTAACTCTCTGTCTTCGTCAGTGTTACTCTATATTTCCCTCAGTAGTTATTCTCCCAATCAGTGTTAACTCTCTATCTTCATCAGTGTTACTCTAGACATTTCCTTCAGAAGTTAATCTCCCACTCGACTCAGTATTAACTCTCTGTCTTCGTGAGTGTTACTCTATTATATTTCCCTCAGTAGCTACTCTCCCACTCAGTATTAACTCTCTGTCTTCATCAGTGTTATTCTACATTTCCCTCAGTATAGTTACTCTCAGGGGGGGGGGGGGGGGGGGTCCGTAGCAATTTTTGGCAACTTTCACCTAAATTTACAAAATTTCCGTAATTAAAAGGTTGCCAAAAGTTGCCAAAAGTTTCCAAAAATAATTAAATTCGGAAAACAAAATTCTGTTGAAAACAGTTGCTAATTGGCTCCTAATTATCACTTCTAAAGCACCTTTAAGTGCCTTAGAAGTGATAAAAAGTGATAAAAAGAGGGGGGGCTCATGTTTTTTGTCCGTTTGGTACCCTATATTTTCAAAACGGACAAAAAATAGAGCGGACAAAAACGGACAAAAAATAACAAAAATGGAAATAACATTTAGATGCTTCCTCCTCCTCCTCCTCTTCCTCCTCTTCCTCCTACTCCTCTTCCTCCTCCTCAGTCCTCCTCCTGGGTCCTCCTCCTGGGTCCTCCTCCTCCTTCTCCTCTTCAGTCCTTTACCTCCTCCTCCTCCTCAGTCTTCCTCCTCCCTGTCAGTCCTCCTCCTCAGTCAACCTCCTCAGCCATCCTCCTCAGTCCTCCTCGGTCCTCCTCCTCAGTCCTCCTCCTCCCCCTCCTCCTCCTCCCCCTCCTACTCATTCCTCCTCCTTTTCATCCTCCTCCTCTTCAGTCCTCAATCCTCCTCCTCAGTATTCCTTCTCATCGTTCTCCTTAGTCCTCCTCCTCTTCCTCCTCCTCAGTCCTCCACCTGGGTCCTCCTCCTGGGTCCTCCTCCTCCTCCTCAGTCCTCCTCCTCAGTCATCCTCCTCAGTCCTCCTCTTATATCCTCCTCCTGGGTCATCCTGATCCTCCTCCTCCTCATCAATCCTTTTCACCAGTCCTTTTTCTTCTCCTCCTCCTCCTTAGTCCTCCTCATCCTCCTCATCCACCTCATTCGCCTCCTCATCATTCCTCATCAGTCATCCTCCTCCTCCTCCTCCTTCTCCTCTTCAGTCCTTTACCTCCTCCTCCTCCTCAGTCTTCCTCCTCCTCCTCCTCCCTGTCAGTCCTCCTCCTCAGTCAACCTCCTCAGCCATCCTCCTCAGTCCTCCTCCTCCCCTCCTCCTCCTCCCCCTCCTTTCAGTCATCCTCCTTTTCATCCTCCTCCTCTTCAGTCCTCCTTAGTCCTCCTCCTCCTCCTCCTCACTCCTCCTCCTCATCGTTTTCCTTAGTCCTCCTCCTCAGTCCTCCTCAGTCCTCCTCCTCAGTCCTCCCCAGTCCCCCTCCTCCTCCTAGTCAGTCCTCCTCCTCAGTTCTCCTCAGTCCTCCTCCTTCTCCTCCTCCTCTCCTTAGTCCTCCTCATCCTCCTCATCCACCTCCTTCCCCTCCTCATCATTCCTCATCAGTCGTCCTCCTCCGCCTCCCCTCCTCCTCCTCAGTCCCCCTCTTCAGTCCTCCTCCTCAGCCCTCATCCTCCTTCTCCTCAGTCCTCCTCAGTTTTACTCCTCCTCCTCCTCCCTCTCAGTCATCCTCCTCAGCCATCCCCCTCAGTCCTCCTCCTCCGTCCTCAGTCCTCATCCTCATCAGTCCTCCTCCGTCCCCCTCCTCAGTCCTCCCCCAGTCCCCCTCCTCCTCCTCATATTTAGTCCTCCTCCTCCTCAGTTCTCCTCAGTCCTCCTCCTACTCAGTCTTCTTCCTCCTCAGTCATCCTCCTCAGTCCTCCTCATGGGTCCTCCTCCTGGGTCCTCCTCAGTCCTCTTCCTCCTCCCCTCCTCAGTCATCCTCCTACTCCTACTCCTCAGTCCGAAATACTCCTCAGTTCTCCTGATCCTCCTCTTCAGTCCTCCTCCTCCTCATCAGTCCGCCTCCTCATTAATTCCTCTTCACCAGTCCTCCTTCTCCTCCTTCTCCTTAGTCCTCCTCATCCTCCTCATCCACCTCCTTCGCCTCCTCATCATTCCTCATCAGTCATCCTCCTCAGTGCTCCTCCGCCTCCCTCCTCCTCAGTCCCCCTCTTCAGTCCTACTCCTCAGTCCTCCTCAGTCCTCATCCTCCTTCTCCTCAGCCATCCTCCTCAGTCCTCCTCCTCCTCCTCAGTCCTCCTCCTCCTCCTCAGTCCTCATCCTCCTCCTCAGTCCTCCTCATATTTCTCCTTAGTCCTCCTCCTCCTCAGTCCTCCTTAGTCCCCCTCCTCAGTCCTCCTCAGTCCTCATCCTCCTTCTCCTCAGTCCTCCTCAGTTTTACTCCTCCTCCTCCCTCTCAGTCATCCTCCTCAGCCCTCCTCCTCAGTCCTCCTCCTCAGTCCTCATCCTCCTCCTCAGTCCTCCTCATATTTCTCCTTAGTCCTCCTCCTCCTCAGTCCTCCTTAGTCCCCCTCCTCACTCCTCAGTCCTCCCCAGTCCTCCTCCTATTCCGTCCTCCTCCTCCTCCTCAGTTCTCCTTAGTCCTCCTCCTTCTCAGTCCTCCTCCTCCTCCTCCTCAGTCCTCCTCCTCCTTAGTCCTCCTCCTTCTCAGTCCTCCTCCTCCTCCTCCTCAGTCCTCCTCCTCCTTAGTCATCCTCCTCAGTCCTCCGCCTCCTCCTCCTCCTCAGTCCTCCTCCTGGGTCAACCTGATCCTCCTGGGTCATCCTCCTACTCTTACTCCTCAGTCCTCCTCCTCCTCCTTATCAGTCCTCCTCCTCCTCCTCATCAATCCCATCCCAGTCCTCTTTCTCCTCCTCCATTAGTCCTCCTCATTCTCCTCATCCACCTTCTTCCCCTCCTCACCAGTCATCAGTCATCCTTCTCAATCCTCCTCCGCCTCCCCTCCTCTTCCTCAGTCCCCCTCTTCAGTCCTCCTCCTCCTTCTCCTCAGTCCTCCTCAGTTTACTCCTCCTCCCTCTCAGTCATCCCCCTCAGCCATCCTCCTCAGTCCTCCTCCTCCTCCTCAGTCCTCATCCTCCTCATCCTCCTCCTCAGTCCTCCTCCTCAGTCATCCTCCTCAGTCCTCCTCCTCCTCCTATATCCTCGTCCTGGGTCATCCTGATCCTCCTCCTCATCAATCCTTTTCACCAGTCCTCTTTCTTCTCCTCCTCCTCCTTAATCCTCCTCATCCTCCTCATCCACCTCATTCTCCTCATCATTCCTCATCAGTCATCCTCCTCAGTCCTCCTCCTCCTCAGTCTCCCTCTTCAGTCCTCTTCCTCTGTCCTCCTCCTCCTGTCCTCCTCAGTTCTCCTCAGTCCTCCTCCTCCTCATCAGTCCTCCTCCTCCTCCTCATTAATCCTCTTCACCAGTCCTCCTTCTCCTCCTCCTTCTCCTTAGTCCTCCTCATCCACCTCCTTCGCCTCCTCATCATTCCTCATCAGTCATCCTCCTCAGTCCTCCTCCGCCTCCCCTCCTCCTCCTCAGTCCTCCTCAGTCGTCATCCTCCTTCTCCTCAGTCCTCCTCAGTTTTACTCCTCCTCCTCCCTCTCAGTCATCCTCCTCAGCCATCCTCCTCAGTCCTCCTCCTCCTCAGTCCTCATCCTCCTCCTCAGTCCTCCTCATATTTCTCCTTAGTCCTCCTCCTCCTCAGTCCTCCTTAGTCCCCCTCCTCAGTCCTCCTCAGTCCTCATCCTCCTTCTCCTCAGTCCTCCTCATATTTCTCCTTAGTCCTCCTCCTCCTCAGTCCTCCTTAGTCCCCCTCCTCAGTCCTCCCCAGTCCCCCTCCTCCTCCTCCTATTCCGTCCTCCTCCTCCTCCTCAGTTCTCCTCAGTCCTCCTCCTTCTCAGTCCTCCTCCTCCTCCTCCTCAGTCCTCCTCCTCCTTAGTCATCCTCCTCAGTCCTCTGCCTCCTCCTCCTCCTGGGTCCTCCTCCTGGGTCATCCTGATCCTCCTGGGTCATCCTCCTACTCCTACTCCTCAGTCCTCCTCCTCCTCCTCCTTATCAGTCCTCCTCCTCCTCCTCATCAATCCCCATCACCAGTCCTCTTTCTCCTCCTCCTTAGTCCTCCTCATTCTCCTCATCCACCTACTTCCCCTCCTCACCAGTCATCAGTCATCCTTCTAATTCCTCCTCCGCCTCCCCTCCTCTTCCTCAGTCCACCTCTTCAGTCCTCCTCCTCCTTCTCCTCAGTCCTCCTCAGTTTACTCCTCCTCCTCCCTCTCAGTCATCCCCCTCAGCCATCCTCCTCAGTCCTCCTCCTCCTCCTCAGTCCTCATCCTCCTCAGTCCTCCTCCTTCTCCTCTTACATCCTCCTCCTGGGTCATCCTGATCCTCCTCCTCCTCATCAATCCTTTTCACCAGTCCTCTTTCTTCTCCTCCTCCTCCTTAGTCCCCCTCATCCTCCTCATGAATCTACCTCATTCTCCTCATCATTCCTCATCAGTCATCCTCCTCAGTTCTCCTCCGCCTCCCCTCCTCCTCCTCAGTCTCCCTCTTCAGTCTTCTTCCTCTGTCCTCCTCCTCCTTCTCCTCAGTCCTCCTCAGTTTTACTCCTCCTCCTCCCCTTCCCGTTCTCCTCAGTTCTCCTCAGTCCTCCTCTTCCTCCTCCTCAGTCCTCCTCCTCATCTTTCTCCTCAGTCTTCCTCCTCATCTTTCTCCTCAGTCCTCCTCCTCCTCCTCAGTCCTTCTCCTCTTCCACCTCCTCAGTCCTCCTCCTCCTCCTCAGTCCTCCCCCAGCCACCCTCATCCTCATCCTCAGTCCTCTTCCTGCTCCTCCTCTTGGGTCCTCCTCCTTGTTCCTCCTTCTCCTCCTCAGTCCTTCTCCTTCTCCTCCTCTGTCCTCCTCCTCAGTTATCCTCCTTAGTCCTTCTCCTCCTCCTCCTCCTTAGTCCTTCTCCTCCTCCTCCTCCTCCTCAGTCCTCCTCCTTCTCCTCACCAGTCCTCCTCAGTCCTCCTTCTCAGTTCTCTTCATCCACCTCCTTCTCCTCCTCATCAGTCCTCTTAAGTCCTCCTCCTCAGTCCTCCTCCTCCTCCTCAATTCTCCTCCTCAGTCCTCCTCCTCAGTCCTCCTCCTCAGTCCTCCTCCTCCTCGTCCTTAGTCCTCCTCATCAGTCCTCCTCCTCCTTCTCCTCCTCAGTCCTCCTCATCAGTCCTCCTCCTCCTTCTCCTCCTCAGTCCTCGTCCTCCTCCTGGGCCCTTCTCCTCCTCAGTCCTCCTCCTCCTTCTCCTCCCCAGTCCTTCTCCTCTTCCTCCTCCTTAGTCCTCCTCCTCCTCAGTCCTCCCCCAGTCACCCTCATTCTCCCCCAAGTCATCCTTATCCTCCTCATCAGTCCTCCTTCTCCTCCTCAGTCCTCCTCTTCAAGCCTCCTCCTCAGTCCTCCTCCTCCTCCTCCTCGTCCTGGGTCCTCCTTCTCCTCTTCAGTCCTTCTCCTTCTCCTCCTCCTCAGTCCTCCTTCTCCTCATCAGTCCTTCTCCTCAGTCATCCTGCTCCTGGGTCCTCCTCCTCCTCTTCATAGGTCCTCCTCCTCCTCCTCAGTCCTTCTCCTCCTCCTCCTCCTCAGTCATCTTTCTCCTCTTCTCCTTAACCTTCCTCCTTCACCTCCTTCTCCTTATCATTCCTCATCAGTCATCCTCCTCAGTCCTCCTCCGCCTCCCCTCTTCCTCCTCAGTCCCCCTCCTCAGTCCTCATCCTCAGTCTCCCCAATACTCCTCCTCCTCAGTCCTCCTCCTCATCTTTCTCCTCAGTCCTCCCCGAGTCCTCCTCCTCCTCCTCAGTCCTCGGTTCTCCTCAGTTCTCCTCCTTCTCAGTCCTCCTCCTCCTCAGTCCTCCTCGGTATCTAAAATTCTGGGGTAAAGTTAACGGGAAATCACTATTTTTGGCAACTTTTGGCAATTTTTGGCAATTTTTGGCAACCTTTCACATGAATTTTCAAAATTTCCAAAAAAAGAGGTTGCCAAAAATTCCCAAAAATTGCTACGGACCCCCCCCCCCCCCCCCCCTCTCACACTGAGAGTTAACTCTCTGTCTCTATCAGTGTAACTCTACATTTCTCTCAGTAGTTACTCTTTCACTCAGTTTTAACTCTCTGTCGTCATCAGTGTTACTCTACATTTCTCTCATCTTAGTTATTCTCCCACTCAGTATTAACTCTCTGTCTTCGTCAGTGTTACTCTATATTTCCCTCAGTAGTTACTATCACACTGAGAGTTAACTCTCTGTCTTTGTCAGTGTTACTCTATATTTTGCTCAGTAGTTATTCTCCCACTCAGTATTAACTCTCTGTCTTCGTCAGTATTACTCTACATTTCCCTCAGTAGTTATTCTCCCACTCAGTATTAACTCTGTCTTCGTCAGTGTTACTATATATTTCCCTCAGTAGCTACTCTTCCACTCAGTATTAACTCTCTGTCTTCATCAGTGTTATTCTACATTTCCCTCAGTACTCAGTAGTTACTCTCACACTGAGAGTTAACTCTCTGTTAACTTCTCTGTCTTTCCCTCAGTAGTTATTCTCCCAATCAGTGTTAACTCTCTATCTTCATCAGTGTTACTCTAGACATTTCCTTCAGAAGTTATTCCCTCACTCAGTATTAACTCTCTGTCTTTGTCAGTGATACTCTACATTTCCCTCATGCTCAGTAGTTACTCTCCCACTAAGTATTACCTCTGTCTTCATCAGTGTTATTCTATATTTCCCTCAGTAGCTACTCTCCCACTCAGTATTAACTCTCTGTCTTCATCAGTGTTATTCTACATTTCCCTCAGTACTCAGTAGTTACTCTCACACTGAGAGTTAACTCTCTGTTAACTTCTCTGTCTTTCCCTCAGTAGTTATTCTCCCAATCAGTGTTAACTCTCTATCTTCATCAGTGTTACTCTAGACATTTCCTTCAGAAGTTACTCTCCCATTTAGTGGTAACTCTCTGTCTTCATCAGTGTTACTCAACGTTTCCTTCATTAATTACTCTTCCACTAAACTTCTCTGGGATTGGTGGAAAAAGGAGAGAAAACTTCGACTGAAATACGATAAGGGTGAGTTAAAAGTTTCAAACCCGCTTAAAACGACGACACTAACTTGGTGCTATATCACTACATAATATGTGCAAGGCAAATTTCTGGAGAATCGAGTATTTTTTTGTAATAATTTGAATTATAAAGCGACAAAATATTATGTGTTCTCTCTTGGTTTGATTTTTTGAACAACAGCCAGTAATTTTAGAAGGTAAACGGTCAAGCAAAGTGTGCAAGGTCGTTGATGGAGTATTCTATGTGAAATCCTCTCACCGGTCTGAGCCCCACCAACTGAACATCAGAGGACCAACTTGCACCTGCAGACATATTTTTCAAGCTATTGATGATGGTTTAATGAAATGCAATGGGAGGACCTACCTGAATATTACAGAAACATACTGTTCTTCGTAAAAGATAAAGGTCTGTTAAATTGATCTGTATGCATGTTTACATTCCAATTTGAATAGACAAGACAAAATTGAGGTTCATAACTCGTTCATGTGCTATGGCAGTGCGTCCGCGTCGATGTAGGAGGTGTGGAGCCTGCTAGTAGAGAAAATATGAAGTTTCCAACAGTAAATATTATTATCAATATCAAAGGCAGGGCATTACTTCGACCTCCGAGGCGAGGTATCCGTGTGGACCCTGGTTGTTATCAGGGTTGGAAAGACAAAGATAATTTTGTCTGTTAAAGTGGGTTATCACTCTCTGCCATCAGACTCATAAATCACATCTCCGCAGGGTTTGCCAGGTTTTCCCTATTGCTTTGCTTCCAATTCTTATAATAGTCAAAATATAAAATCCGATATTATTTTTGCAGGAAGTGATATTGGGATATGGCCAGCTGATGCAGATGTAAACAAATGCTGCGATTATCCAGCATCAGAAGACGAGGATGAAGAAGTAGAAGATGATGAGGTTGGAGGAAATGGGGATAAAAGAAAGAAGAAACGGGACATAGACTATAAAGGAGATTGGCGGGAGCTTTCAAACAGAATAACTTCCTTCGTTAATGATCCTGAGTTTGACGTGATGGACGATGATGTCTGTGCATTATTATATAAGAAACTGTCAGATACCGTCAATGATGTGGCATCCTATATTTACAAAAGAAACTAAATTAGATAACATAGATAAGATAATGTTTGATAATATATTACTTTAAAAGCCGTGCAATCATTTTAGATATTAGATATTAAACTAACCATATTATGATATTCTCCGTCTAACTATTCGATCTGTCTCCATCTCACTATTCAATCGGTCTCAACGTTCATTCTCTGTTTAACTATTCAATCTCTGTCTCAGTGTTCATTTTCTTGTTTAACTATTCAATCTTTGTCTCAGCGTTCATTCTCTGTCTCGACATTTATTCTCCGTCTGACTATTTAATCTGTCTCAATGTTCATTCTCTGTCTCGACGTTCATTCTCCGTCTCACTATTCAATCTGTCTCAATGTTCATTCTCTGTCTCGACGTTCATTCTCCGTCTCACTATTCAATCTGTCTCGACGTTCATTATTTGTTTAACTATTCAATCTCTTTCTCAGTGATCATTCTTTGTTTAACTATTAAATCACTGTTCATTCCTGTCTCGACGTTAATTCTCCGTCTCATTATTCAATCTCTGCATCAGTGTTCATTCTCTATTTTAGAGTCAATTCCCTGTCTTACCTATCAATCTTTCTCGGTGTTCATTCCCTGTCTGACTGTTCAATTTCTGTCTCACTGTCCATTCTCTGTCTCGCTGTTCAATCTTCGTGTTTCTTTCAAAGTGTTACAGTGACAAGGAGACCGAATGATATTGTTGTAAAATAAAAAGCTTGTCCGCTTTAGTTATAGTGATATTAAAACATATACAACACCATGTATTATGAAATTTTAGATTTTGTTACAAAATATGGACAGTGAATTTGATGTTGTTGTCTAATAATACACGACGTGAGGCGCGGCGACATTATAAATTTTAGAATTGCCCGCGCATTTTAGTACTTTGCCGCGGCTCCACTAGTATTTAACGTTTACCAGACAGCATTACTGCGTGCCGTGGCTGCGCCGCGCACAAAATAATGCATTATGCTGTACTACATTCATTATTATTTTAGCAAAGCTGTAATATATAAATTAGAAAATGCCGCGCAAAAATACTATTTTGCGCCGCGTATGAACCATGAACGTTCTGACGCAAAAGTAAACATTTTGACACGATACACTACTGAACCGCGCTTGTTTCACAAATAAAATATACTTTGCCGCCTTCGGCGGTCGCGCGCTACTGCAAGCAAGAGGGTTACTGGGCCGCGCTCAGCCTGTCATTCCGCCTAATCTCTATTAATAGCCTGAGGTCCCCAGGTAAGCAAGAGGGCTTTGGTTATAGCAACCGTTAAATCGGCAGTCATGCACCATTTGCTCTATCCAAAGCCCTTGCGCTAGCACTAGCCTCACGGCGGGCACTTATTTCTTGACTTGTGAAATAAGTGCGCCCGAATTGGCGCGAAAGCACATGGTTAAGTGAAATGCACCATTGGGCAACGCCGAACTGCGAAGGATTGAAATCGTCAATCAAGTAAACATTGTTCATTAATTTATTGTTTTGAAAATTTCACTGTAATATAAATAAATTAAAATTTTGTTTGCTTATTGCTCTAACCAGAGCCCTTTCGCTTGCAGTAGCGCGCGACCTACTTGTGAAACAAGCGCGTCACGCAGTACGCGTAGACACATGGCTATGTGAAGTTTGCTTTTAAACACGAAATAATTTTGAATTAATAGAAAAATTAAAATTAAGTTTTTAAAAAATTTATCAATGATGATCGTAATTGACGATACTGCAATGCATGTTGTAACGAGTTGCTTACGATTTCGTGATATCAAAGTATAAATATTGCTTATACTGTAACCCTAAACCCGGCATTCATTTTGCATTCCACTGTTCATGCGTCGCAGTTAAAGCAATGGGTTTTTTGTTCTGCGACTGTGTTTCCTCGGTGGGCCGACAGGTTTTTGTTGTGTAGTAGTGCTGGGGAAAAAACGCTTAAACTATCAATGAGAGTAGTGCCACAGTTTCTGTGGTAAAAACAAATTTATAGTTAAACGTTATATATTGTAGAAGGGCATGATTTACTCACATCACTAAGCATCTGGATGTAATGGATAATGTAATGGATAATGTAATGGATAATGTAATGGATAATGTAATGGTTAATTAGCACACAAGGATAAACTGACCTTTAAACATGACCACCAGCTATACCACGTAACCATAGCTCCGAAATAAATAAATTGCTCTACATAGAAACATCTGGCTTGATCCTATCACATTGTGGTCCCCAGGGGTTCGGTAAAGCCCTTACAGGCAACTGGGTCCTTTTACCAGCCACAATAAAATTGGTCATGCCAGTACTGTCATAAACTGTAACCAACTATTTAAAAATTAGACATCTTTTGCTAAATTTTAAATTTTA